AGGACACAAGTCTGGACATGTTGTGTCTAAACTGTGTAAAGATCAGTGGTGTTGTTTACAGCTCGTCCACACGGCGTCGGCCCTCATCACCAAAACATCTGGAACCTCCTCGTCTGTCCAAGTGGACGTCTTTGTCTTCTACGTGTACGGCTCCTCCACCTCATCCTGAGACATTTGTGTTCTTCAGTTTCACGTCCGTCACGTGTTAGAAACCTCAGAGACACGCCCACTTACTGAGAAGGTTCCAGATGTTTTACTAGAGGCTGCAGGAGAAGATCAGGATGTCCAGAGACACTGACTCCGACATTTGTTCTCACATACAGAACCTCTAGAACATGTGAGGAACACGTCAGGACAGTTCGTGTCTGAAAACAGCTTTAAAATTATTTTAATGAACATATTTTTTAAAAAAAAGACAAAAACTCATCTCTGGGTTACAGACTTCATTTATTTGTTGTTTTAGGATTTGTCTTAAAAAGCCCTTTTCTAAAAAACTAACAGAATCAAGTCAACAGAGTTTCACTGAACGAACCGCCTCAAATGATTTCTCCAAATAAACATCGTGAGTTTTAATAAAACCGAGTCTTCAATTCTGATCTCAAACTAATAAAATCGTCATCACATTGGAAACTTTCATAACAAAAGCATAAATAAATAAATAAAGAACACAGGGTGAATCTACTGCACACGATCCTAAACTGTCAACATCCAACTAATGTCTTCAAATCCGTCTGATGGACGCTCGTCTTCACGTTACAGTAAATCTGAACAATCGTCGAGAAATGAAATCAAAATCTCACTTGTGTTTTCATCCTGTCACGTTAAGACTTGAACTTCAGCTTTTGTCATAACCAGTAAATAAAGATTAACGACAGGACGACTCCTCTAAAGTCTCCATCGCCCCCTGGTGGCTGACGTTAAATAAATGTTTTTCGTTCTTCTCTCACCGATATAAGAACAGGCAGAGACGTCAGGATTGACAGCTGAGACTGACTCAGTATTGGTTGAGAGTGAGTGTGGGCGGGGCCACAATACCACAGCTCCATGATCACTGCTGCAGACTCTGACTGTAAAAGACGCCATCACCACAAGATGGCAGCGTTTGTCTCTGAGATATTTTAGCTTAATTTTTATACAACGTGAGGAAGTGGAGACGTGTCGTCCATCTTTATTTACATTTTTCTACTTCCCTCACATCTGATCATAAAACGAACATGACAAACCTACGTTGAACAAACATGACATTCTTGGTTTGTTCTTTGTCAAAGTAAATGTAAATTAAAGAAGCGTTGCTTTTGTCTTCGTATGACGTTTAAAAGAAAACACACCTGACTGGTCTCCACTGAGCTGCCACAGATTGATCCCGTTTGTCTTTGTTAGTAAAAGTAGAGACACATTTAATCTCATGTGACTCATCAGGAGGAGGCTGGGAGACCTGTTGTGCCTCTTTCCCCACCCAGCTCTAAAAAACATGATGTATTTATATTTACAGTACACGTTTTCTGGATAAACGGCCATGTAAACTGACAGTTATCTCCTGCTGCCACCAGGGGTCACTAAGCTCCTTATGTTTCATTAAGAAGAAGAAGTTCTTTCAAAGTCAGCGACACTTAAAAACACGTGTGAGTGTTTTGTACCTAAACTGTGGTGACTCCTTCGGTCCAAACGTCTCCTCGTCCTCCTGGTTCGTGGGGACTGGAGACGGGACGCAGCCTTGTGACCTTCAGCGAAGCTGAAATAATTATATGACGCACGATGACCTCGAGTTGAAGTTCTTGAGGTGAATGGATCACTTCTGCCTTGGGGCCAAAACTAAACGGACAGGACGTGTCGAGCAGAAGAAATGAACCTGGAGCTTCAGCACAAAGACGTCTGTCCGAGGGATGAACACTTTATCTTCCTTTTGCTTTGGAGAAAAAGGGAACGACAGATTGGACGTCCTGAGGGAGGAATGACGGAGAAAAGAAGATGGATACAGAATGAAAGGATGAGGGAGGAGCTGCCTCAGCGTTAATCAGCTGCAGTGGCACAGCAGCAGTCCAGCCACTAGAGGGAGCAGGTTGAGCAGCAGGAGCCACAGAGTGATGGGCAGACCAGGAGAACCGGAGCACGGGTCTGAAACGACAACAAGACAAACTTCACTCTCCAGATTCACGTCTCCTTTCCTCTGTTCGTCCGATGGTTGATTCTAACGCACACGTCTCAGCTGCTGTGACTCCAGCACTAATTCAAGTTTTCTACTAAAAACTTAAAACTGTTCAATGTTTGTAAAATAATAAAGACTCAAAGGCTGAAACCTTCAGGTCACATGGTGTCAGGAGAGAAGCCACACTGACCAATGGGGTTAGTCCTGGAGGTGTTGATGGGCGGGAGCTGGTGGGGGAGGGGACAGTCGGAGCAGAAGTCGGAGCAGGCGGGACAGACGAGGACGCCGTTGTAAACCCAGTCGTTGACTCGAACGCTAACGCTCAGCAGCTGACCTCTACGGACGCAGAGGAAGGAGCGATCCTGGACGAACACCGTCAGGCCCTGAGCCGAGCACCACACCTGCAAAACACACACACACACACACACACACACACACACACACACACACACACACAGTGAGAAACATTTGTGTGCAGACGTTTGTTGACATCTGATGACTCCGCCTCCTGCAGACTTTAGAGATGAATCTTTATCACAGGTAGAAAAACTAGAATCACGTCCCTGTGGACGTTTGTCTCCACCAACCAGTTTCACTCACATACATGTGACCACTGAAATCTAATCAGTTCATCTTTGAGTCCCGCTGAACATTTGTACTCGGTGTGAAGAACCTCCCTCACGGCGTCCTTGAGATATCGTGTGAACAAGAATAAGACGGACAGCCTGAAGACAGAGCGGGGTGTCATAAACAGTGACAGTGACATCACGGGACGGGTCGGCTTCCTGTGTGTTGTAGCATCAGTTAGCCGTTAGCTCAGAGAAGCAGTTTGTTGATTTGTAGCACAAGAGAATGACTGTGTGGGCGTGTCTTCAGATGTGGCAGCAGCGAGAAGCAGCGGTTGGACAAGGACATAAACTTAAGTTCAATCAGTGTCTTCTAAAAGACATTCCCCTCGTGCTGCTGTTAGAAATAAAAAGTCCAGTTATGACGTCTGTGACGTTCGATTCACTTGAAACTGATTTTACTGTGAAAGTTTGATGTTTGTTGAAAACCGATTGACATTAAACTATGTTCAGCACCTTGTAGCATCCGGAGCCCCAGTCTGGATACGTCATCTTCCTCGTGCACTGCTCCATGACGAACGCCGACTTCTGGTACAGACACACAGAGTCTGGGCCGTACTGCTCCGCTCCGTAGTTCCTCCACCAGTCTGAAAACACACTTTGCTGAGTGGGTTCGATCTCCTGTGAGAAGAAGTGACTGAGAGTCACAGCTTCAACTGTCACAATCAGATCAGTTCAAAACACTGAGACGTTATTAACAACCAGAGTTTATCTCCAATATTCTGCAGGAAACTTTAAAACATGAAGAACTGTGAGTTCGGTGGATTTGTTACAGCAGCAGTTTGAATCAACTTCAGCTTCCTCCACTGCTGCACTCTCTCTCTCCCTGATGAAGCTCTGACGTCAGTACCTGGCTGGTTCTCCGACACTCTGCAGTACGAGTTCCTCTGATATTCTCCACTCAGGTGCCAACTGAACTCCTGACTGAACGGACAGAAGTCAGCGATCTCCACTGCCCCCCCGAAGAACGACAGCTGATCAGGAGCCACGTCAGGGATCTGCTCAAAATACTGCACACACACTATGTGTCAAACGTTTTACCACAATACTACTGTCCGTCATCAAGCTGTGTGTGTGTGTGTGT